ACGTGGTAAAATTTAGTAGTGCTGAAATCACAAATTTTTTATAACATATGTGGATACCTAACTTAAAGCTTTCTAGTATGTGATACCTAACTTCCTTGTTTCCACATACATAATTATTTATTCTTTACTTATTTAACATAGAAATTGCAAAACTAGTAACCAATAAATTGAAAATTATTTCTCTCTCCTCAGCACTATTCATCGCATACTATTCATTGTCAAAAATCAATTTTGCCCTTCTCTTTCCAATCAAATTACATCTTTATTTTTATTTCTGTTCAACCATTTTCCATGAAAGAAAAATGCAAAGAATAAAAGAAAAATAGAACAAAAAAAGAAGAAAGAAGAGAAGAAAGAAGATGGATGAAGGTTAAGATAAAAAATGGAGATGGAGGTTGGTTATAGTACAACGACGATGGTGTTAATGACAATGGTGACGTCATCACTGACGTCACGATGGTAACGATATGTTATCGATAACGTTGTTAGCAATTAGCAAATGAGTTATCGATATAATTTTGTATAAATCTTATTATGATAACTAAGTTAGCACAAATAATATTCAGATTTGTATATGTTAACACACAACAAGTATAAGATATTATTGTTAACACGTTATAAATATCAGATGTTAGTGTTAACACGTTAATATTTATATATTATATTATTATAATTGTTATTTTGTTAACTAATTATATAACTTTATATTAATATTAGCATGTTAACAGTTTATATTAGATGTTAACAGAATAATTGTTATCATGTTTTTTGTTAAAATAATTGTTATCATGTTAATTATTGTTAGCATGTTAACAAAATGATTTCCGATAATGAATAGTATCGTCGGACGTTTTATGGACAGTGTTATCAGTCGATGGGTGAACAGTATTTCCAACGTAATTTGTCAGAAAAAAGTTTAAATTACAGAGCTGCTATGCTCTGTAGATTGTCCGAAGAAGAAATCTTGAAATGTTATGCTCGCACGAGAGACTAAACTTCACATCAAAATTTATCATTATCTTACCTTAAGCTAATAAATGATGGAGACAAAACCGGAGTTTGTGAGCCACTGATGGCGTGTGCCACTATAGATTGAAGAGGAAAAGATCGTTTGGAAAACACCAAGAAAAATAAGTTTATCATGGCGGATACATGTAAGATGAGAAGAAGTGGGAGCAATGAGAGTGAAGAACGAAACCTAAAATTGAACATGCACTCTTGAAGAGTAGAAACCAAAGGGAGTACTTAGTTTATGTTAACTGAAACTGTTTGCAGAGAAGCTGTACCTACAGTGTCGGTGACAAAGTTTTATCATCCTGCAACAGAGATATTTTCAAGACAGATGCATGTATCTCGAATAACGTGAGCGAATGTGAATATATTTTGGCTCATCGTGATTTGCTATTCTTTCATAATTACTTTTATACAAGATGTGGAAAGTCCTCGTCCTTCTCATTCACCGGTTTGTTCTCGAAGTAGAACAATACTAGCTTCTACTTTGCTTCTTCTGCACCTCTTCTATGAAATCTCGTACTTCTTCTTCACATAACCTTCACAAGCTTCATCTTAACCAATCCAACTTAAACCCTACACCTTCCAGGTCGAACAATATATCTTCTGCTTCATGAATCTTCATCAGTGTACTCGTGAGGTGATCAGCACAGTTTAGATAGCAGAGCACATCCATGCACACTGTTTTGAAGCGTCGTTTATTTGGACGCTGCTGTGTCTGATGTGACAAAAACAGAGTTTATACGTACCTTTGAAAAAGAGAAAACGAATCCCATTTGACGTCCACTGTTTCATCATCACAAACTAAATTAAAGGTAATATTTCAGGAAAACAACGGAGATAGAGAGGCTTCAAAACACTTCTAAGCAAAATGTGGGAACCTATTCGTCCTCTCATATTTACAAAAGTTCATTTAGAAAACAAACCAGAAAACCTAGCAGAACCTAAATCCAAGTGACTGCCAACTCAAATCTTCAGTAAACATCATAATCTTCCAAAGAGATGAGAGCTTTAGCTGCCAACAACTCGGTCTTCTCCTTAACAATTTGAGCTTCCAAGTCTAAGCACTTCTGCTTCAATGGCTAAAGTTGTTCCTCCATTTCTTTCAGCCGGGCCAAACAAGACTCTTCTTTCTCCTTCACTTCCTTTACTTTATCAAGTTTCTTCTTCAACCAACCCAACTCAAACCCCGCCTCTGTCAAGTATGCCAGAGAAGCATATTGGTCGGCCAGATCATCCATGGAAATTACTCGAGGCGATTGACGCAGTGTCTTGGTTCAGTTTAGGAGGACATTCATGTACGCTGTCTTCATAAATGGATTCTTTGGACGAAAGTTTGATGCAATATCTTGGTGTCTTTCAAACAGACGTTTCACAGATTCTACCTGCAAGTGGAAAATGGATATTATATGAAGTAAAACCATAAAGTAATAGACCCAAAAACCATATCTTGGGCTTGTAACTACATCAAGAAAATGAGCTTCTCATAATTTCTGACCTGTGAAGGAAGAACTTGAAACCCCTTGACATCTATGGTTACTGGTGAAGATTCCCCTGATACATCTAATTTACCTACAACTTCAAGAACATCAACTTTGACAACAATTATGAGTTCATCATTCACCAGAAATCCTTCTTCGGCATTAAGTTTGGTAAGGGTAATCATTTCTGCAAACCCCCAGTCAGGATTCTCCTGCTCTAACCAGGGGCAGGGTTGCGGTTCTGCGAAATCACAAAACATATTCCATATCATGATACGTGATATTCACCAGTGGATTTAACATTGATGTTCATAACCAAACAAGCCCTGAACAACATTTACACAAAAGTCTTGCAGCAGCACAAGACATAAATATGAAACTCTGCAGCCTAACCAAAAGAAGAAAATAATCAAGAAACAAATCACCTTTAAGTTGGGACAGTTTTTCCGAAAACTGATTTACTATAGTAAAGGAAACTTTAACATGTCTTCTCCACGCATTAGGCAAAAATTTATAATCAGCAACGACTAGATACAGAGAGAAACAGTTATCCTTATTATTTCCCTTAGGATAGGCCAGAAGACGCCTGCAAGCAAAACAATAAATAACATAAGAAAACAATCAGGAGATTATCCTGTAAATCCTTAACTAGAAGAAACAAAAAGAAAACATTAGTAAACTTTTCTTCTTCTCACCACTTGCAGCCACCAACCACGAAATTGATCAGAATATATTTCCTCGGGATGCAAAGAGGAGAAATTCTTATTCACCCAAGTGAACTTCTATCAGTTTGATTCCCCATTGAACTTCTTACAAATTCAGCCCAAATTTGTAACTCAAACCATCAAACAACATTATCTAGAAAGACAAACCACAATAAATAAACAGTTTGTTTCTTTCACAAGTTACCACATTTGACAAAACGAAGAGTAGAAACCTCTCTGAGTGGCTTCGAAGGAGAGGTAGAGACACGGACGAGACGATGTGTACTCAAGCAAGTGAAGAGACACAGCTTTAAAGGCGTCGAAGTTTGATTACCTAAACCCTAAACTCATCACTCCTTAAATTCCTTTTTCATTATTATTAGTTTAAAAATATAGCAAAATTAAGACCAAACTGAACCCAAAACTGAACCCAAATAGAAAACGATAATTAAAACCCAAATTGAACAAAATTCCATAGATCAGAGCCCAGTAGCCTCAAATGCTGAGAAAGACATGAGAACAATTGTGTTGTCACTGAGACATTGAAAATGATGGCCATGTACCTCACCATCACAGGCTTTTACATATTCATTGGTGAATCTCTTTCTTTATGGAAATCTAAGAAACAAACAACATGTTGTTTCTAAATCTTCTGCAAGAGGCTGAGTATAAAGCTATATCATTCACTGCATCATAAGTTTTTTGGTTTGCTCAGATGCATCATAAGTTTTCTACTGTGATAGCTCTTCATATGGCGAAAATTGAGGCTGGTGGCTGAAGCCTCTCTACCCTGCTCTGTTTCAAAGTTTTATGTCCAAGATACAGAGTAGAATACGGTAGATTTATACTGGTTTATATACATATATACTCGTATATCATTTTTCTTCAATCAAGTATTAGGATAAGAGAGTCTTTTAGTCCTCCACACTGTGACGACGAAAGTTTATAGTGTTCAAAATGCAGAAGCATGAAGACGAGAAACCAAATTATAGCAATAAAGTGTCGGTGACAGAATTTTGTCTTCTTGCATCAGAGATAGCGACGAGCGAATGTGAATAGCTCTGGCTCATCGTGATTAGATACTGATTTGTCATTAATTACGAATAAAAAACAGTTCAAGACGGATGGATGTTAGCGGTATCAACGTCAAGTTATTCTTCGAGTGACACTCTTTGTTCAGAGACAAAGACATCAATTTTCTACAAAATAATTCTTTACAAAATGTGGAAACTTCCAGTACAAGTCTCTACAAAATCATTCGAATAAAAAACACTTATGAAAGTCTTATTAGCTAACATATATGTTATGTTCCTTTTTATAGTCAGATTTATAATAATATGAATACCTTTACGCTTTGCCGAAATATAAGGTGCCCATTCTAGGATTCCATTTCCTAGTACCATGTCCAAAATGAACTCCTGCTCTCATCATCTCTTCCAAATCGATGTTCCAATATCTTTTTGTCATTTCTTTTCACACTTAAAATATTCGAGTTAAATTGGCTGCGAATAAATAAATACGAACTCACGTAGCATTCTTGACCTAAATAAAAAACTCACGTAGCATTATCCAAAAAGGCAAAAACCAATCTATACAAATGATTCTGATCCTCCCAATCGATAAAACAAATTAACTAAACCAAGGAAAAATACGAGTAAACCAAAGGAATTGGATAAACCCTTGTTTCCTGTCACAATGTGTGGGAGCATTAAATTTAAAAGAGCTCTCACTTAGAAATCAAGACGCGCGAGCATACAAACGACAACACTTAGCAGAACCTAAATGTTCCTAGGAATTCAAAGTTTCAGACAACATCGTCATCATACAAGGAGACAGGAGCTCTAGCTGCCAACAACTCAACCTTCTCCTTATCCATGTCAGCTTCGACGACTGAGCACTTCTGCTTCAATGGCTTAAGTTGTTCCTCCATTTCTTGTAGCCGTGCCAAACAAGCCTCCTCTTTACTCTTCTTTTCTTTTACTTCATCAAGTTTCTTCTCCAACCAGCCCAACTCAAACCCTGCATCTGTCAGGTATGCCAGAGCAGCATACTGCTCTGCCAGATCATCTTCGGAGATTTTCTGAGGCGATTGACACAACACCTGTGTTAAGCTTAGGAGGAGACTCATGTACGCCGTCTTCAGGAATGGATTCTTTGGACGAAATTTTGATGCAATATCTTGGTGTTTTTCAAACAAACGGTTCACAGATTCTACCTGCAAATGGAAAATGAGTATTGTATAAAGTAAAACCATAGCGTACGTAATAGGCACAAAAACGATATCTTGAGCTCTTGAGAGTTGAGCCTGTAACTATATGTCTATATCAAGAAAATAACTTTTCACGATTTATTCTTTCACTTTCTATGTGTTGGAAAGTATTTTCCCTTTACTTAAGTAAAAACAAAATAACACATCTTGTACAACACATGATGGCGTCTATTTTGGTAGGAATTTCTAAAAAACAACAAGAACTTTTGTATTTCTCATAACATATTTCTGACCTGTGAAGGAAGGACTTGAAACCCTTTGACATATATGGTCTCATTTACTGGTGAAGATTCCTCTGATACGTCTAATTTACCTACAACTTCAAGAACATCAACTTTGGCAACAATAATGAGTTCATCATTCACCAGAAATCCTTCTTTGGCATTAAGTTCGGTAAGGGTAATCATTTCTGGAAAACCCCAGCTAGTAGTCTCCTGGTCTAACCATTTAAAAATAATCAGCAAAACCAAGGAGATGATCATGAAAAACCTAAATTGGAAGAAAAAAAAACTTTAGTAAACAACTTCTCTTCTTACCATTTAATAAAAAAAAAAAACTTTAGTAAACTTTAATACGAACTGATGAGAATATATTTTTGCAGATTTCAAAGAGGAGAAATTCTTTATCACCCAACTCACCCAAATGAACTTCTTATCAGTTTGATTCTCCATTGATCTTGATGACGGCTCCTAAACAACCAAATTTCCAACTCAAACAATCAAACAGTGATATCAAGAAACAGAACTGTGGGGTTTTAATATTGATCTCAACCTCAACTTTAGCTAATTGTGAATTAAGCAAATCCGATCAAGTGACCTTGTTACGTTTGTTTGTTGTTGAAAAGACACAAGAGAATTTGGTAACCCAGTTCCCTTTCGGTACGTCTGGAGAGAGAGACGATACTCTCAATGATCCACTAGAACAATCAAGTGTTTACGAAAACGAGTTCTGTTCGTTCACCTTTAAACTCACGTATCTCTCTTTCTTCCTTTGTTTCAGGTACCACAAAGAAGAGAGACCAGAAACTAATTCACCTTAGCTCTACTCCGTGAATGTGAAAGAACACCGCAGATGATGCCTTAACCTGAGAAGATGAAGACGAAAGCTTAGAAACCCTTGACCGTGTATCTCTCTGTTTCTCTTTTACTTCTCTCTCAATTATCTCTGCCTTCACACCACGTTTAAAACCCTTGTCTCGTTTATATACCACCAGATACCAAGTGGGTTTTAAACACATAAGCCCGTGTCTTTGTTTTCTTTATTGTAAACACATCAGTTTCGTTTTAAGCCCAATAAGCAAAGCTTTGACCATGACGAGTTGACCAGCCTTATCTTCTTTAGTTGTATCGACAAACTCCACAAAAACAGAAATATATAATATATTGAGACTACTGTAGAGATAATATCGAGATAATTATGTTGAGATAATATCGTAATATCGTATCTTATCAGACTATCTTATACTTGGGATATTCTCTTGTTAATATTCTGTATAATTCTTCTTCTATTAGCCTATATATATCGATGTATGATGTAACTCATGATCAAGCTAATACAATCATTTTTCTCTAAATGGTATCAGAACCTCTCTTTTTCTTAAATTTCTTTTTTCCTCCATCTTCGGACCATAAGAAAACTCGTTTCAGTTGCAACTATGACATATAAAAGTAAAACAATATTAGTATAATTTGTTAGAGATGTTCTGTATAGTGTATCCTTTTCAAAATGTTTTAGAAATTTAAAACTATCTGTCTCTGCTGATGTGAAAGTCCCTTACTTTTACTAATGCGAATCTGGTACATAGCAATTCTTCCTTTTAGAAAAATATCTCCATCTGTAATTGTTTCTTACTTCCATCAAAACGGTGTGTCAAAACAAAGGTGTTCACAATATCTTTAACCGTTCTAGTACCTACGCAAGAACAAACCAAAGACTCTGATCCCCATCATATACATGTGTGCAGTGATCATCGTGACAATGCCTTCAATCACAAGCTATCTAAGGAGAGTCATGGCATGCATTTCCCGAAAGTTGTAGTGTTTGAGCTGTTAATTACTCTGGTAATGGCTTTATCAGTTGTCAACTCTTCATCCTCTAGGTTTCAAAAAAAAAAAAAAAAAACTCTTCATCCTCTGTCAGAGACCGTCTTTATGATTTCAACCCCAGTGAGACCAGAGGCAGTTCAACTACTTTTAGGAAGAGAGATTTTTGTTCCATGACTCTGTTCCATGAATCTATGATCTTTATTTGTATAATCGAACCATCTTTTCAAATATGGTTGATTTGGGCACTGTCATTAATTAGTTGGAAAACACTCTTTCTTAGCCGAACTTTGTCTGGATGATATATAGAAAACCAAAGGACTCAATTGCATTGTAAATAGGACTAAAGGACTTATCAGAGCTTTAGACAATGTCATTAATTTCAACAAGTGCAACCAACAATTTTTACTTGCATCAGATGAAATGATATCAATGTTGTCTAATTAATAAGAAAAATAAGAAAGTGCTGAAACCGAAAATAAATAAGTCACATAGATGATAAGATAGTGTTATGGTTCCTCTAGCATCAAGTACACTCCTTCACCACTTCCTTCACTATCTTCACGGTAAGATCTGGATTTTTGCTGACGAACAACTCGTACTCTTTAGAATTAGCAATCATCTTGAAATTGCTTAGGATGAATTCCAAGGCAGCAACCTCGAGGTCTCTTTCGTAGGGAACCAAAGAGAGCTTATAAACGTCAAGAGCATTCGTCAAACTCAGAGAAGATATTAGCTCGTTTCTGCAAAGATCCTGTAAATGGAGGATCTCGTATTTGTGAGCTGCGATAAAGAGTGACTGAAAATTTTGTTTTGCTTTCGCTGATAGCGTAGAGCCGTCACTATAGATGAACTCAACTAAAGCTTCTACTTCTTCATGTTTCATCTCCGAGATAGTCACTGTCTCTAGCTTAGCTGAAGCCTTGAACTCGTCTGATTCAAACATCAACCTAAACCTCTGATCTTGCTGCCTGTTCAAATTAATTTCCATATATGTTTATTTTAGCTTTGACTATTTAGAGAATTCAGTCTAGACAAAGCAATTCAATCAAACAGAAATAATCACTATGGATATATATATATATATTTTGTTTTTTTCTATACATTAAACAGAAAGAATTTGGAAACCATTTTGCTGAGGTGTCGCTCCCACAATTTTTCTCAACCTTTTTCATTTAAATAATTCATTTTATTCCATTTCCACCTATTATTATTTCCTTATTTAGCTCCTTCGGCCAATTAAATTTAAAATTCTTAAAAACTTATTCTTTATTCGTTTTCTTTATTTAGTTCAACTGTCTTTTTATTATTTTTATTTATAAATGCATTATTGTAATCGCATCTACCTTATTTTCAACATAAAAACAAGTAAATACTAATTTAAATTTTTGAAGCAACTGATTGTTAAAAAAAAAATTCCATAAAATGATTACTATCTTTAATTTTTTTATTTATTTTGAAAAGTTAGTTTCAAATTCCCTTCATAAATCAACATTTTGAGAAGTACAAATTTTATGATTCGACATAATTACGATTATATGATTTATACAAATTACAATAAAAATTTTATTCAGTCCAATATACGTGAACCCATATTCCCGGTTCATATAATTTCAAATCTTAATTACATTAATTACAAATAAAATTCACTTTAATCCGATATATATGTGATCTCATAATTCCGGTTCATTTAATTTTAAATTTTAATTACCTTAATAATCAAAATATCATAACTCTACCTTAAACCTTCCTCCGAATTCCCCAATACAATTAAATGATTAAGCATAATTAGAATCAATCGATGCATATTCCAAATTTATCAGATAATGATTATATTACCTTCCTATATTATCGTTACCGTATCAATCTCAAATTTTATAATGTAATTACAAATCATTGTTTGTGTAGTCCAAACAATCCCTATTTTTTCGATATATTTTTAAATGCACTACTTACCTAAACAAAAATATTCCGAATATATAGGAGTAATTAAACTAGTTGCCCCCTATGGAAATCTAACAATATTGCAAATCAAATATATAAAAATTGCCATAATCTATCATATTCCAAAGAAAATTCAAATTCAAATTCATAGTTAACCGCCTACAATATTTTCCCTCTTCTAAAGATTGCATTCAAGATTTACCCTAGCATCACCACATTCGTTATATCGCTATATATAGTTACCACGGTTGACCTCAAATTCATCACACCACCTAAGCAATATTTAGCTTACATACTCCCTCTTCAAATTTCTGCGATGTCGACCTTCACATTCCTCACTGCCCTAAAGCCATTCAAAACCCAATGGAAGATCCGTGTCAAGATACTGAAGTTGTGGAAACAATATTTGAATGTGATCGGGACTATGGAGATGGTCGTTGTCGATGAATTGGTATTGCTTTATACTTTGTTTGTTCTTTATTCATAGTGATCCATTTTGCTTATATATATATATATAATTTTCTTTTTTTTACAATTTGCTTATTATTATATTGCCATGCAGAATCAAACTATGCATGTGAGTATCCGAAGCAGTTCATCAAAAAATTTGAAAATCTTCTAGAGGAAGGAACTACTAAGATCATCACTAATTTTCAAGTCACTCACAACGGTGGAAAGTTCAGGACTACCTCTCATGTTTACAAGATCCAGTTTGCTGCCAAAACGTCTGTCAGGCCTTCTGAAGATTTGGATGCCAAAATTCTTGGGTTGAAGTTTGTGAACTTCACTGATATTCACGATGGCAAGTTGAATCCAGATTTTCTAATAGGTAAATGGTATATATATATCTCGCATACATTATGAATATGAACAGAAGCATATAACATCTAACTACAGTTTGTATTTATATTTTACAGATATTGTTGGACAAATTGTTAGTATTGGTGAGGTTGAGATTCTCAACGTTAACAAAAAACAGACCAAATGTCTTACAATGACACTTCGTGACACCAGGTTTGTTAATTCCCTCGAGCGCTACAGGAGTG